GGAAGATTAGATACAATTTGAAATTATACAAATTATATAAAAATTGTTTGATGATTATAGATGGCATGAACCATATAGTAAACATTAATACATAAAAGTACACGGAGATCATCATCTAAATACAGACCAACCTCCCTAAATGCACCCCCCCCCCCCCTGGGACCATAGTAAAGCGTGCATTTATAGAGGGCAAAATATATAGAGCTGGGACCCAGCCATGCTGTGCATTTAGAGAGGTGTGCACTTATAGAGGGTGCATTTAGGGAGGTTTATCTGTATACGTATGTTCTACACTACAAGATGAAAATAGGTTAAATGTAATAATCTTGGCTAGTAGCCCGTCCATATGTGATCCGGGCTACCTTCTCTAATATTCATTTGGAGCGAGCACGAACTTGTAGTTCTATCAATCTGTGAGACCTCAGTTCATCGAACCTGTTTTGAGACTGTTTAAAAGTATGGTGTAGCTTTCATTAATATAGACACGAAATAAATCATATTATAGGACCAGAGTCCCGTTCAAACTCAGTCTTTGGACTACAGTTTGCAGACTCGAGTTCAATTAGTTCAACTCCTGAACTTTTGAGTCCTAGACTGGGACTGGATTAAATCAAAATTTTAACAAAAATTCTATGTACTCGTGTATTTAATCAATCATTCATATACACGACAAAGAAGCTTTTGAATAGTTGTATTTGACCCCTAAGTTCCTGCTGCGAACTACCATTGCCCAGTCTCTCCTGAGCGAATTCACCACACTTTTCTTGCCAGCCCAAAGTCAGAGCCGCCTCCAAAGTTATGCTGTCTGCCTATGCCACGTCTGAGCTGCCCAATGTGAAGCTATTTTACTGTGCAAATGCTGTGGTTTGTGCAGTAAAAGGAAAAGAGAGAGATTCTGCCTAATAGTATTCTGCTGCAGCTACGAAGGAAAGAAGCACTGCCAATTTTGTAAAAATCAAAAAATAAAAAACGTGATAATACACAAAGGCCAGGGATTTTAGATTGACTGACTTGTATATCTCTGTCTGATCTTCAAAGGATTTTGTCTATCTGTTGCATTGTTGTTTCGTCCATATACCGTTTACATGTCTTGTTTGTATGCTCGCTACTCTTTTTCTCTAATATTTTAGTTGGGTTGCCCCGATCGTTGATTTGCGTGGATGAACTACTTCATGAGGTAATAAAACATTTTGTTCATTATTAAAGGATCTATCAATGATTCGATTGGTTGCCCTAACAATAGATTTGCGTAGCATTCTGTTTGTTCTTTTTTTCTGCTTGGGATAAGAATGAGACATTGATTCATGTATCCATTATTCTTTTATTCATTTTCTAGCTTAAGTGAGAATCTCTATGAGAGCCCTTAGATGTTTCACTTTCAATAGTAATAGTATGCTATAATAGTATACTATATTAGTAAGATTATTACCTAATTCGAAAAGAATGCAGATTCGATGTACCAATCTATCGAAAAATAAGTAAATCATACATAGCAAAGCCTCTTGGATAAAATCAACGCGTTTTTTATCACTATCGCTATAGAATATTTTATGAAACCTATCGCCAAAAAAAGCCTCAATAATATTAGAAAGAGGCTTATACTTTACGCGACCAACTAATACAAGCATCATTGATTCATACACACTTTAAGACCAGTAAAAGATAAGCCCCATTATGTGAATTCGTGCAAATTTTATTGTATCCAATATATTTATTTTTTGAGTTGGCTGAGTTTTGTTTTTTGATCTTGCTTTGTTATTTTTTTCTGTTGTTGTAGCTCCTCAATATTTTCTTTTTTGTCAAAATACATTTACACTTGAGAAAGGCACTCTGAGAGAGGATTTCTCTTGATCTTTATTACGCTGTCGTATTATCGCAGAAAAGATGGTTTCTTTTTGTTGTTGTTGGTGAGTTATGGCAAATTTCAATAGGAGAAGTATATTTTCTAGAATCCCGGGATTGCAAAATTCAGATATTTGTATAGAAAAATTCGAGGGTTTGATCCTTTGGAAATTCCAATATTCAAAAGAATTGATTGAGATAACTTGAGTTTTGTTTTTTTTTTAAATTTTTAGTGTCCCAATTCGGTTGGGGACAATAATTTTGGCTTCGATACTACTGGTGAGGCGAAATCTTTGGGAATTTCATATTTCTAAACTTGAAGGCTTTTTATTCATTGGTTTCTTCTATACTGTTAGGTTTCTTCAGTTATAAACGCGTATGTTGTAATCGGACACACACAAAGTAAGTCACGTGTTGTCCTCGATGAATTCGAAAATTTTATTTCTTAAGCTACACCTTTTTCTAGTGTGGGGCAGACAAATTGATGATACACTCAGGGCATTTTTCGGAGCAATATATTGTATAGTTGCGGTCGCGTCTCTCTTTGGACTAATTGGATCTTTTGTGGCATGTGCTTTTTTCCCACTGTCTTTATTCTATATATTATTAGACAAATTAATTTTGAACATGAATTTTATTACAGAGCTCTCGTCGTTCTGTTCGACTATTCTCTAGAATTCTTTGGTTCTTGCTTATTGCCCATATCACTATCGATGTTGTACAAGTAATAGAAATGCACAAACACAGAGACGATCGTATTGCAGACTGTGTCGGAAACGTAACAGTTGCAGTGAACGAAAAAGTCGATAATATTAACAATTCCACAGCCAATATCACGCTAGTTAACGGCGCAACCAACTCCACCACCAATAAAGTAAAAGACAAAATTGAAAAGAATACTCACGAAAGTTGTCAGAGATGGGTGGATATTGAAATCTGGGCGATATCTATATGGTATGGGATAATTAATCTATTGCTGGTAAGTTTTCTTTCTAATTATACTGGAGGATTTAAATAAAAAAAATATTTATTATGAGTCATTAGTGATATCTTGATATACGATAATAATCTAATGTTATATTTTTTTTTACTTTTAGCTTTACTTTTGTAATGTAGCTGCACGTTTTTCTCGCCAACTAGAGTCGGAATATCGTCATCATCAACTTCGAGATCATACAAGATCAGCTGTAAGTCGCTCTTCCCTAAGTTCGAGTTTGAACTACCAACCTACGAATGTAAAAGGAAAATCGTAAACAGGGTCAATGAAAAAATCAATGACAACACGATTCGTCTTATAAAAAGAATCATAGTGTAGATTTCATATTTTCAGTTTTAAAATCAGAGTATATGTATGTTGCATCTACTCGCTCATTACCATTCCATTTATTCTCAATTATACAGCATCTTTTTTATCAATAATTTTTGATATGGTAAATTATATTTTTTATTAAAAATTGATTATTTAAGTATATTATTGATCGACGCCTACAAAAATTACAATCAAGTGACATCCAGCTGATCAAAAATTATGAAGAAAACATGTAAATTATCATTTTGGTATTCAATTTGATAATATAAAGTCTATTAAAAATAGATGTTATATAAATGTTTTTGTTAAAAGTATTAATCCACCAATATTTCATTTTCACTTGCAATAGATATATTGTAATTATATTTAATGTTTTATAATCTGGTGTCATTTTTAAATTATTGCAAATATAATCTAATTACAAGTAGTTTTTATAAACTGAACCGAACTGGACTTTTGCCTTGCCTGAAAATAATATCTGAAAAAAATTATAATATATTTATAAAGTAGCTTAAAATAATTTCCAAGAGATAATACAATTACAAAATAGTTTCTGCTATATGCATTTTCTGTTTTTTATACTATTTACAAAAATGAATTGGCTTGACATAATATTTCATAAAAAATATGAGATTTTTTACAATTTCACAAGAAAATTTTTATATTCTTTTTATACAAAGTCCAATATAATACACAGTCTATAAATTATCAATAGCTTTTTTTTACAAATTAAAATCACTTCTTTTAATATGTAAATAGTTTAATTATTTTATTCAAAATATTTTAGAATATAATATAAAAATTTTTCACTTTATATATATGAATAAATTGAATTTATATTGTTACTATTTTCATTGGTTTGTTAACTTTCAAATATAGATTACATGTTCTTCATGTGTTTCAATCAGGTGGGAGAGTTATTAAAGATTTTTTATGTATTTAAAGTTGGTTGAAACTAATTTAATAAAGGTAAATAATGACGTATTCATTTTGTTGAACTGCTAGAATGAGTTCAAAAATCTTCTTTTTAATTCAAATGATTTAATTGTTAAGTAATCTTCTTTGATTGATTAACTTTTATTATAAATTTAAATAATATTAATCAACTTCACAGGGTAGTGATGAGAGGTTAATTATATTATTATAGATGATATCACTTGTTACAAATGAGAGATCTTTTAAATAATAAAGAATACACATAAAAAAGTAAAAGGGTAATTAATGCTTGACTGAAAATCTCTAACTCAAGACTTATAATACAACTCACTTCTAAGAAGATTTTGTCAAAGGAAATTAAAAGGTAAGAAGATAAAAGATTCTAATCAAGAAGATTATTATTCAAAAGATTAAAATAAAAATGTGAGAAGATTATTTTTCTAAGCTAAGATACATATTGTATTTATACAAATTATTATTACTCGATCTTCAAATATTAAAGCTATTTTTGATTGATATTAAGGTTACAAAAAGCGCTCACTCGATGGTTGCGCATCACTCGTTTGCTTGATGGTTATACATTGCTCACTTTAATGTTACATAAATTTTATCATTAATATTAATTAAATTTGATTATGTAAATCGATTAACACGTGCTTTTCATACTAATAATAATAATATGAATTAAATATGATTAGTACGAATTATAAATAATATA